TTTTTTTATTCGTGTGCTCATCGTGATTTATAAATCTTACCTTATATGAATTACATTTTGCAAAAAGAAACCACTATCTCTGGCTCCTCCAAAAAATCACCCTTCTGCATAGGGAAACCAATGGCATATACGATGTTTCTAAAATGTGCCAGAAATAGTGGTTCCTTATTGCGAAATGCGGTCCACATTACCCTTGTAAGCTGTGAATTTTCTCCTGACTAAAATTCAAAGTCGAGGAGGATTATTTTGAATGTAGGGATATGTGTTGTACATGATCCCTAAAATTAAGTCTTATGGAGAATTATCGGTGGCAGAAGTGCGAAACCACGTATCTCCGTTTGCGACGTTGCAAGATTCCTGTCATACTTAATTTTTTCTTTGGAAAATTAACGAAAGTAATTTCCTGAAAACTTACTTGATTTTTCTTCTCTGCTAGCACTGCTGGCAGTTTCTCTATATAAATTTTAAGCTATAAAGTTAGTTTGCTTCTCTTTGAAATAATGAAATTGGAGTGGAAAGTTTGAAACACTGCAATGAAGATACGTGGTTTTGTACTTTTGTAGATCGATATGTCGCAAGCAGTCAGTAATCGCCGGCAATTTGGACGTATTTATGCAAAGCGGAACTATGTTACACGAAAACCTTATGCACATAGTTTCTTTTAGCATAATACATCCATTTGAGAGTGAAATGTGTGATAACTCGTCAAACTGCAACAATTTATATTAACTTAATGTAGGTTCCTTTGGCAAGGAACTTCAGAAGTACGGCCTCTACCTAGAGCGCCTTCAAATTTCGGTGATACTCTATGCTTTGCTGGGAAGTTAGTTTAGTTGCCTACCCGTACCAAACCCTACTAAGTACTAAGGTCACTGAATTAACTGTATGCTTTTGCGCGTTCGTCAAAATGGTAACAAGCAGCAGGTTACGCTAGTAATAGAATCTTGGTTTGATGGTTTAAGGTCACAAAGATTAGCAAAAAAACAGTCAATTTCGTCTGAAAGCCAAATTTTTATCTCAAATATAAACTAAGGCGTCGCTCATTGGAAAACACGGCGTGTGACGCTCCCACCACAGTAAGCTTACCATGGTTTCTTTGACGTTGGATTCATCAATTAGTGATACACACATTTTGCCCTGCATACTCGACGTAAAACACCAATGAAACCAATGTGGAAGATACCATGGTATACATTATAGATGACGTTATCTACCCTATTTTTCGATAAGCCTAATCTCCCTTAATATTATAAGCAGAAACCTGGCTTTTAAACATATCTAATTATTTTTTGCCAATCCATAACTTAAGCCACCAGAACACGATTATGTGACCAGCGCAACTGACCTATTTCAAGCATAGTAACAACACTTTCTATCGTTTTTCTTTACTTCTTAATTTCTACATTTTTTTTATTCAACACAAGTAGAATGCCCTCCACCGACGATTGTCAATGCTCGAAATAAATAAAACGTCAAACCTCTTTCTTCTCGTTCGATCTCGAATAAAACAGCAGACGAAGCGAATTTAAGCATTCTGGTTACTTTTTTCTAATCAAAATTTCACGCAGAACACGATTTGCTTAGCAAAAATTACTGAAATCAAATCCTAGCTGAGATATTAACACTGGAAGAAAAACACATTGGATCTAGAGTCCAGACTATTTAAAACATTCACAAGAAAAAGTACTCTTGATTCAATCAGAATTAAGCTTAAATCAAGAACCAAGCCTCTTAATTTAAGCGGATTTCGTTTTGATTCAAGCAAAAATCCGATTGAATCAAGGGTATTTTTTCTTGTCAATGTTTTCAAGTGTCTGGACTCCAGATCCAATGTGTTTTTTTCCAGTGAACGTTTTTAGTTTATATTGGTTTAGGGAATTTCGAATTCCCCACTTACAAGAAAAACTATAGTCTACTTGAATCAAATCGCGCTCTGCAACGCTTTTTGCAAAGAGCCTTGTTAAAAATGGGTCGAAATTCGCCCCTTTTTAGGCCCTCGATTTTGCAAACGGGAATTGCACCAAATTGTTGCATATGATGCCCTAAGTCTCTGGTGAAAATTTCAGCTTGAGTTGAAAAGTGGTTTCGGAGATACGGGGGGGTGAAGTGGGGGAGTTGAGCGGCTGGCGTGCGCTATTTTCGCGGCTGTTCCTCGCCAAATCTTCGTTTTGATGTCACCCGTTACATGTTTTTCTATGTAATTTTTTGCGTACTTTCCATTTCTGGCATTAAAAATTACTTACAACCACTTTTCAAGGCGCTAGGGGGTGAAAATAGGGGTTGAACGGCCAGCGGCGCGCTATTTCCGCGGCTGTTCCTCGCCAAATCTTCGTTTTGATGTCACCCATCGCATGTTTTCCTATGTAACTTTTCGCGTTCTTACCGTTTCTGGCCTTAAAAATTACTTACAACCACTTTTTAAGGCGCTAGAGGGTGAAATTGGGGGTTGAGCGGTTGGCGGCGCGCTCTTCCCGCGGTTGTTCCTCGCCAAATCTTCGTTTCGATGTCATCCATTGCATGTTTTCCTATGTAATTTTTCGCGTACTTTCCATTTCTGGCCTTAAAAATTACTTAAAACCACTTTTCAAGGGGCCATGAATTTTTTTTTTTTTTTTTTTAATTGATTTCGTATTATTCCCGAAGATCTATTCGTGCCGTATATTTTCACGTTTTCTCAGTGTACCTCCCACGTCGCAAGAGAAAATATATACGCATGATTTCATCCGAACATAAATGTTTACACGCCTGAATGATATGCAAAGTCGTGCGTTCGTAGAAGGGAGATGGTAGAATAATGGCAAAATCATCAAGTAAAGCTTTAAAGCTTTCATGAGGGGGGGAGGAACATTTTTAAATCGATAACTTGCCATAGCTCTTAATTTTCCATACTTCCCTTGACTTAATTAGGGTGACGTTTGGTCTTTCAGCGTGAACGTGTAAATGTATCTGTGGTCATAATATCCTTAAATACGGCGTGTAGGCTGGTAATGGCTGCTTTTAAATAAATAAGTAAGGAAGTAAAGGACCGATTTTTTATTAATCAGATTAATGTACTGCCCGGGGCATATCTCAGATTTTCCCCCATATTTGCCATGTCATTTTGGCGTGTAAACATTTATGTACGCGAAAAATTACATAGGAAAACATGCAATGGATGACATCGAAACGAAGATTTGGCGAGGAACAACCGCGAGAAGAGCGCGCCGCCAACCGCTCAACCCCCAATTTCACCCTCTAGCGCCTTAAAAAGTGGTTGTAAGTAATTTTTAAGGCCAGAAACGGTAAGAACGCGAAAAGTTACATAGGAAAACATGCGATGGGTGACATCAAAACGAAGATTTGGCGAGGAACAGCCGCGGAAATAGCGCGCCGCTGGCCGTTCAACCCCTATTTTCACCCCCTAGCGCCTTGAAAAGTGGTTGTAAGTAATTTTTAATGCCAGAAATGGAAAGTACGCAAAAAATTACATAGGAAAACATGTAACGGGTGACATCAAAACGAAGATTTGGCGAGGAACAGCCGCGAAAATAGCGCACGCCAGCCGCTCAACTCCCCCACTTCACCCCCCCCGTATCTCCGAAACCACTTTTCAACTCAAGCTGAAATTTTTACCAGAGACTTAGGGCATCATATGCAACAATTTGGCGCAATTCCCGTTTGCAAAATCGAGGGCCTAAAAAGGGGCGAATTTCGACCCATTTTTAACAAGGCTCTTTCTCCATCGAGGAATGTTTCTTCCCCACCTTGTGTTAGTGGAAGTGTTCACAACCTCCAACAGCTGAGCCGAAGCACCGAGATAGTGGTTGCCATATTTTCATACGGCAGAGACTTTTACTGTAACGTTTAGTGCGCGATTAGACTTACGTAAACTTTTGTTTTCTCAGGGGTGGGAGGTTTAAATTCACGCGTCAAGAAACTTTAATGATCTTAGATAGGAGTGAGCTGTGGTAATTTTAGTTACGCAAATTGCGTTTTGCGTGAAATTTTGGTCAAGAAGCATGTGTCAGAGTGAGTAAGTTCGTACCTTGTCCAGTGCACTTCGGAAAAAAACTTCGGTCTTATGAACCGAATGTACGGTGTTCAATATCGGCCGTAATGTTCGATTCATGTAACCGTTCTCTCGGTTCTGGGAACCGTATACTCGGTTCATGCAACCGTATTCTCGGTTCATGCAACCGAACATTCAAACCGAGCAGTAATAACAAAAAAACCCGGTTGCTCGAACCGAAGATACGGTTTCCAGAACCAAGAGAACGGTTGCATGAACCAAACAATAGGCCGATATTGAACACCGTACATTCGGTTCATACGATCAAATTTTTTTTCTCAGTGTGGTTCCTTCTCAGAGACAAGAGACCCTCCACTAGTATCTTGGCCATGATGGAAGCTTTTACTTTCGGGACTTCAGCATTCTACTGTTGACTTACCTACATGGTTGATGTTCAACAACGTGTTGGCAGTTTCGTTTTGCAAACAAGCCGAAAATGGCTGACGTTTGGGAAAGTTGTTTGGCTCATGACGTCATCCGAGGCTCATCATCGACCATGTAGGTAAGTCAACAGCCGAAACTAGGGTGGTGACTGTTGCTCCCTAATAATTGTCCATAAGAAATTGTTGTGGAGTCCACTACTTGTCGGACTACTAGTCCGAAAGTAAAAGCTTCCACCTGTCGCTAGGAGGCCTGCGGGGCGATTATTGAAACTATGTCAGCCCGACACGACAAGACATAGCCCTATCTTAATCATGCAATATATCGCAATTCGATGTCTTATCGGGCTGGTTTAAATTTCAATAATCGGCCTGCAGTGGAGGGTCTCTTGTCTCTGTTCTTTCTCGACACGACTTAGTCTCTATTTTTTAAACTCTGCGATATGCAGCTAGACTAAATCCTTCTGCTTGTGATCGATAAAAGTACGCTTTTACACCCTCTCATCTTGTGTAAATGTTTTGAAATCACTGATTTTTCTGACATTAGTGCGTGTTTTGTGTGTTTCCCAAAGCCAATCACCCACCGACCACCTCGCCCAAGCCAACTACCTCCACCACAGTGCCCGTTGTCCCTGCCGTCAGTCGCGGTAAGGCCCTCCTCACTAACTCACTCGCTCTGTTTTGCATGACTCTCGCTTCCGTAGCTGCTTCCGTAAAGCCCTGAATAGACTATCGAATCCCCGAACCAACACCGATCAAAGTAGCATCAAAGTGTCAGGAGCCAGTCTTTAACTCATTTATTTGCTTCATTTTAAAATGAAAACTTGGTAGAAATGTTACCTGTGGCAGGAAATGATGAATGGTGGCACTCCATTCTGATCTTACTTTGAACAAATCAGTGCGGCCCGTCAAAATTTGATGGTAGATGATGACCATCAGTCATCAGCATGTCTACTTTGATTGGAATTGGTTCGGAGTTTGATCGTCTATCCAGGGCTTAACAACGCTTCTTCCTTCTCTACTTTTGTCCTCGTTGCATGCATCGGTCTGTCAGCAGCAATACACTGTCATAACTGGTTTTGGTATGCACACTGTTGAAAATCGAGGAGTGGAATCCGGTGCCGGAGTCAATATCTATAGCGGCTAAAAACTCCGAATGATATGAACGCGAAGTGAAATTAGCACCGTATAAGCGTATGCTGCCGTGCTATGGAAGAACGCCGTACGAGCCTTCAGACGTCGCCAAATTTCCTTGTACAAATGACAGGTTTTCAGGGACATTTGTGAATATTTTTTTTCCAATTTTGGGGTGAATTCCGTCCGTAATTTGATCTGAAAAGTCTGAAAATTTCAAGGAAAAATATTAATAACTTTCTTCTAAAATAAATATTTTCCAAGAGGGAATTTGGCAACGTTTGAATGCTCATATGACGTTTTTCCTTAGCACGGCAGTATGACACTCCACAAAAATAGAAAATTCCGCTTCATATCAGTGTAAGTCACGCCGTAAAGAGAATATATTCCGCTTCGCATTCATATCGCTCAGGTATGTATAAACTCCGGCGCAGATTTTCACTCCAAGATTTTTGACAGTGTACCTGACCGGGTGCATTTAAACAAAATAAGTCTATCCACATTGAGAGCAAAAGACGGATCGTTCATTCCCAGACGAGGGAACATGTCTCAATTCCAATATTGTTACATTTTTTCATCAATTAATTAAACGTTTATAAAGCATACTGATGGCCAAAGTGCGAAACACGTATCTCCGTTTCTTACGTTGCCAACTCCTCGTCATACTTTATTTTTTCTTCGGAAAACTGGTAAACGTAATTTCTTGAAAACATTATTAATTTTTCTTCTTTCTCAGCAGAATAGTCTTTGTAAATTTCAAGCTAAAAAGTTGGCTTGTTTCTCCTCGAAAAAATCAAATAAGAGCAGAAATTTTGCAACACTGCAACGGAGGTACGTGGTTTTGCTCCTTGCCCATCGATATGATGTATAATTGAGAACTCGGATATGGAAAGGGTACTTCTCGATTTGAGTGCATCAGAATCCCCTGTCTTATTTTTACTCTTGACAGAAAAAAATAACAGTTCGTGAGTACAATGGAAATTTAACTAAACATGCGTAATACAACAATATCCTTCTCACAAATATTAAGTTTAATGATCCATGATCCTTTCTTAAAAAATAAATTGTCAATGACGATTTTGAAACACTAAACGGAGAGGTGCCCTGTTTGCACCTGAGGCTTCAATTTCTGTCGAAAATATTGCTGATTATTGCATGTAATCTGAAAAAACTGAGTGAAAATTTGGCCCAAAGATTCTCGCAACAGATTTGTGGTCAAAATATTATATGCGAATTGAAATGTTGCAACGTTGGAATGGAATTGCGTTCTTTTATTTGAGAAATGACGTGGCGTGCAATCAAATAATCACTCAGAATTCCACGAAAAATTGCATTTTGATGTTCATTTTAGTTTGTGTTTTTCGCATAATTATGCTTTTTTTTTTAAAAAAAAAAAGTTATAACTTCAGAAGAAAACGGCTTTTCTTTTTCTTTCGATATGGGAAGTAACGTAAATTCAAGACTACTTATAAGCGACTGATTTTTTTGGTATCAAATTACTTAGGCCACGGGAAAAAAATAATCGTCACTTACACTGATTACCCTGAAAAAAAAAAACTCTAGTCGTGGGAGCCGCAATTACGGGCTATATAGACATACCGTCCGTTCCGGGCTCAAAGGCCGAAAATTCCGGCTGCTGGAGCCGTAGCTTCGGCCTCTGAACCCGGAGCAATCGAAGCTACGCCTCCAGCAGTCGGAATTTTCGGCCTTTGAGCCCGGAACGGACGGTATGTCTATATAGCCCGTAATTGCGGCTCCCACGACCGGAGTTTTTTTTTCAGTGTATGATGAACTCGGGCCCTTCCTACTTTTCTAGCCGTATTAATAGTGTTACTTTTATGGTAGCATAATGTGGTAAAACATAACTGGGAAAACCATTCCGCACGAAAGATAACTTTACGTCGAATGCGAGGTTACGGCTGTAATGAAGAAGAGAAAGCCCTCAAAAATTCCTCCCTTATTTGGCACAATTGAATTTCGTATTCACAAAGAATGGGGGAAGCGACTCTGCACAGTGTTTGATAAACGAAGCGCGCGTGTATTTGTGTAGCAGCTGATAGTGTATATTAACATGGACGAGGGAGGCCATGTATAATGCATGTAATATGCCCCTTTCTGCGATGCCAATACGTGCCCCCCACCCCACGCCCAACCGCTCCTGGATATCCATAGCTGCATAGCGTAATTAATTCCTCTGTTTCTCTTCCGAATCCGTTTGCCTCTTGTAAATTCGGCCGTTTCAGCGCTGTTGTCTGTTTGTAACCGCAGATGAGATAGTTTTCTATTTCAAAAGAAAATAGAAGAAAGGAGAAGAAGGAAAAAGACGAGGATTATGGAGGAGAAGAAGATTAGGGAGACTGAAAGTAAATTGATGATAAAACTGCAAAAAACGGTCTGTGGCGTCGCAGGCTCCCTGTCGCGCATAGGAAAACTGCATTTTGCAATTTGGAACTATAAATTCTGGCTCCTCTGGAAAAACACTTACGCGCGTAGGGAAACTAATGGCACATACGTTGTTTTTAAACCGGGCTAGAATTTATAGTTCCAAATTACAAAATGTAGTCCAACTATATAATGGCACATACTTGTTTCCCAGACTGAGTCAGAATTTGTAGTTCCTAATTGCGTAACTTCGTTCAGACGTGGTCAGGCTGGCCCTGATTTAATCCGTACCATTTGACTCCATTTTGCTATTTGGAACTACAATTTCAGGCTCAGTTCAGAAATAGCGTACGTTCCATCACTCTTTTTATGCACATAAGTCGTTTCACGAATGAGCCAGAAATTTTAGTTCCTAATCGCAAAGTCTCGTTTAATTATAAAGTAAAACAATCGGTTCTTGCTAAGTCGAAAGGCCCCTACACGCAAGCCTAACTTATCGGCGTATGCCTTAGCTTTTTAGAAGCTGCAAAGATTCTGGTTAAATTATGTGTAGATCTAGGAGCACGTAACTATTTGCATTGTAAATTCTCGTGGGTAAACAGGCATCGGTATAATCATTTAGCACTATAACGTTTTTTCGAACACGTGCATATTTTTGGAGACTTGAACGCGGTGTATGAAAAGTAGATAAAATGCCGAAAAACATCGTTGGCAGTCTTTACCAGGCACAAATAGTAGCTTTTATCACTGGAAAATATTTTTTCATTAAACCCTTCTGCATCTTTAATCCCTGCCCAACCCCTCCCCCCCCCCGATGGTTCCGGACTCAGGTCATTGAAACGTCACATGAAATTTATGTTCTTCGAATCAGCAACTCCTAAAACAGTTTTTGATGTTCACATACCTCCTTTGAGGGGCTTGGAGGACAAGGGGCATAAGTGCAGTTTTTGAAAATATTGAGAGTATTAGTGATTTCAAGTAAAACTAGTCATAATACATATTCTGTGAAAAATTCGCTCCCATTTTTCCAATTTTTAAGCAACAAAAAGTCAATTTGAACTTTCTTTCCGACATAACAAACCATGTAATTTTGAAACTTCAAACACGTTTTTCTTGAATTAGCAAAAACTGCAGTTGTGAGGCTTGTTCTCCAAGCCCCTCCTTGTACGTCATTATTTTTCGATTTTACGCTCCATTTAAATTCATTTTTAAGCATCTAAAAGTGAGTTTGAACTTATTCTTTCCGCCGCAAAGCTCCATGTACTTTTAGAACTTTTAAATACGTTTTTCTTGCAATGTAGTAAAAACTGCAATTTTACGCATTATCAACCAGGCCCCTCAACTGAGCTTTGAAAGTTCAATGGTGAACGCTGAAAGCTGATTACCTAAGGATTTCGTTCATCGGCCCCATGAGTGAGGAATATTTTTGCAACAAGCTCTTTATAAAGCTCAGATTTCTGTTAAATTTTTCACAAGGAATTACGAGGTGACATACATACAAAACAGTGGCGTGGCGCGCTTTGCGATGTATCGATTGATCTGCCGTTATATCTTGTGGAAAATGATCGATATACAGGGTGTTCGCGGTGAACACCTTATTGATCGATTCTTTACCATGGCTTCAAATGGGGGAATAATCGATAATCGATCATTCATGCCTCGCCACTGACAGAAAACCCTCACACATCCTTTTACTCATAAAAAAAAACCAAACAATATGCACAAGGGACGGTAGAGAAGAACATAATATTTTCTCAGCTTTGCCAAGTCATTTTATTATTCAATTACCTTGCATGTAATCACTGCCGGGGCGGTCGGAAATAATAAGATTTCAAGATTCTATCTCAATCGGCGAAATTCTCATGACAATATCTCATTTCTTCCATTGATGTAAAATTTTATTCTTCGTGCTATGTTTGACAAATCGAGCTAGTTTAAAAACCTTGTGCTTAACATTCTTATCAAAATTATGTTCACAGATCCATTGCGAGAACTTGGAGGCAAAAATAGCAATAATGATAATCAATCGGGCTCAGGAACGAGCTCCGGTAAAGGTGAGTTATTTTGTGTTTCCAAAACTAAAAATCCGAAAACAATAATTTTCTTGCAACGTTTTCAATGAAAATTTTTGCGGGAAAGTATCATCTCCATGTATATTTTTCCGTCTTTCAATTCAATTCAATTCTTTGGATATTAGCATGACGTTGGAGTAAAAGAGAGATTATTTTTCGAGAATTAATGATTGCACTGAAAAAAATGAGGTTGATTTAACGTGCTGCAGCTTTTTGTGAGAACTCACAAAAAGCTGAATTAACTGCTACATCAGTTACTTTAGCAATGACAATATGTAAAACTAACTGCCGTAGCGGGTAATTTAGCATTTTGTGAGTTCTCACACACTACTTTTACATCCGGAATGTTACAGCAACTACACTTTTTTTTCGGTGTGCTCAGTGAATTTTTTTTGTTCAAAGTTGAAATTTATTCTCTACAATCCTTGATCAAACCGCGTAGCGAAAGACAGCCATAAGATATAGTATGTTATCATCTGCATTCATTTTCTTCTTCAAATTGTCACCTTCCAGCCAAAGTATCGCAAGCGTCATGCGACGTTTCAAAATTTGCGCTGCCATTTTATTTTTTTTTCACAGAAATTGTCGGTTAAATCCGTTTAAAAATACCGAATTTCATCGACAGCACAAAGAAAATTCAGTGAAATTTTCGGACAGCCTCGTTGAACAGTTATTGCTCTGTAAAACGATGAAATGGCGGCGGAAATTGTTAAACGTCGCCAGGCGCTTTTGATACTTCGGCCAGAAGGTGACGAGAAAATGTCTCCACAAATGTCATAATAATTTGATACCTACTTTATAGAAGTATGTCTTATTTTATTTATGGGTTTGTGCGCATCAGGAAAGGGAAATAGAGGTAGAGAAATGATAATAAGATATTATCTTGTTCAAGTGAATTTCTCTTTAGTCATACTTGTGTTTATTTCATTTTATATATTTAATTTGAGCTTTTTGTATAGGTTTATCTTAATTCTGGAATTGATAATTAAGTTAGGAATATTTCCCTTTCACTTTTGGTTTATCTTAATTTGTGGAAAACTTGATTTCGTGGTGGGAGGAAAATGTCTTTTCATATCAATGTTTTGAAATTTTCTTCATAATGTGTGTTTTTTCAGGCTCAAAGCATTCTCCAACGAACACAAATGAAATTCCTACTTATGGCACGAAAACGAAGAACAGAGATAACAAAATGTCGCAGGTGGCGGCTACAGGCTCAGGCTGTAAGTATCTGGATACTAACTCAGCTTTTATGCTTTTGAAGCTTTCCTACAGGTGCAGAATACCAACAAAAGAGATAAATGAGTGTGAAGTCGCACAGTAGATCAAGTCAATCGGAAAGGTCGGACCAAATTTGGAAACTTTAAGAGCTCATAACTCCGCGGAGGATTAACTCATGTTGGAGTGCCTTCAATTTCGTATAATACTGTGCAACACCTCTATTGTGAAATAGTGAAGCGCCGTGGCACGTGGCACGCTGCGGCGCTGCCAGCCAGTCAGCCAGCACGGAACACGCATTTGCGCCTACAAACCTAAGGGATACCTCAAGCATTGCGCAATGCGTGAAGTATCTACTTAGGTTTGTAGGCGCCAGTGGCCAGTGCGCGTTTCGTGCTGGCAGCATGTCGCATCACTCCGTTTTATGCTAACTTGAGATTGAGACTGAGATAACTGAGATAAACTTTGAGATTTCAATGTGGTTCCACTGGTTTTCTTGTGAAATTTCCCTATAGAAGTACCCCTTAAAATTTCAAATGTGACGATTTAAACATAAAAGTTTGAAATTTTAGTAACCCTGCTAAAAATGACGAGTAGGGTATTCAGAATTCGCCAACTCACATGAGTAAAACTTCCTACTTATATGAGTAGAACTCCTACTCATATCACTATAAAATATTCTACTCATTAGAGTAGAAAAGTTCAACTCGTATGAATTCAATTTTTTTTTTCGTTTTCAGTAGTGCTGTTTCTGACCAGGAGACACCGACGTGATATGTAAATTTGAATAATAAAAACATTTTGTTCTTATAATTTTTTTGATGCGGCGACTAGTTTCTGAGATATCAGACACGGTAGATTCAACGCTTAGGTCATGTGAGTTGAAATCTCTAGTCGCATGAGTTGACGAAAACTGAATAGAAAAATTCTGCTCATATGAGTTAAAACTTATTCATATAAGTTGAAATTCTATTCATAAGAGTTGAAATTCTATTCATATGAATTGAAATTCTGTTCATATGAATTGAAATTCTATTCGCATGACTTTGATTTTCTTCTCATTTGTACTCACCTCTTTTAGCAGGGAAATAATTTCATGTCCGACCTATCTTATTAACTCGATCCTTTGTGCGTCGTAAAACATATCAATGCAGCCGTAGTAGATACAGCACTATGAGCGTATCTTGTAGAAAAATGCGTGTTAAGATAATTTCAAGTTTTCGATAGAAATAAATTTGTCATCAACAGAATATTCCATAAAATACTTGGTGAGTCTATTAGGTTGAGTCAAAGTGGTATTTAAGTGTATGTAAATGAACAGTAAGTGGATCGCTGGAGGATGAGGGCAGATCCCTCTAAACACGTTCAATTTTAAGAAAATAAAAAGTGCAACTGAGTCCTACACATCATTATTTTTTACATATTAAACTTTGTGCTGACTTCATAAGCGTTTCTTCAAAAGAGAAGATTTAATTAAAATATGGGTAAATAAGGCTACACAATTATTCACAGGACGTTTCGAGCTGTTACCAGCTCATTTTCAGCTGCGATTAAGTATAAAAACAAGTAAAAAATTGAGTGGCGACCTGACCCCAGCCGTTATCTCGTAACCACTCAGTGGCGCCTACAAACCTAAGGGATACCTCAAGCATTGCGCAATGCGTGAAGTATCTACTTAGGTTTGCAGGCGCCAGTGCGCCTTTCGTGCTGGCAGCACGTCGCATCACTCCGCTTTATGCGGAGTGATGATGATTTTGAGTGGTTACGTGATAACGGCTGGGGTCAGGTCGCCACTCAATTTTTTACTTGTTTTTATACTTTTTCGCAGCTGAAAATGAGCTGGTAACAGCTCGAAACGTCCTGTGTTTCAGTATTTTAATAATTTTTTAGCCTTATTAACCCATATTTTAATTAAACCTTCTCTTTATTCGTATATTCGGGCTATGTTTTTGTGCTTTGTTTCTTCAAAAGTTAATATTGCTAACTTACAAAAAAGTATCATAAATGTAAAAAAATATTGTTGTTTTGATGAGGAACGCTAATGAGGTTAAGATATTTTAAGGGGGCTCCGGCTCCCTCACTCCCATTTTGAGACTCATACTCAATGCGAACATTAAAGAGAAAAAAAGAAGAAGAAAACATACGTGTACGCTGCATTTGTTGTCGAAGTTTTTTGGAGGAGGTAGAAGTCTCTGCTTGTTTACAAAAAAAGCGTAAAGAACAAGTCGTCACCTTCCGGCCCAAGTATCACGTGCACCATCCAATGTTATACAATTTTCGCCGCTATTTTATTTCTTTACAGAAAATTTTTTGGTTGAATCTGTTTGAAAATCTCACTGACTTTTATCGGCAGCCTCAAGAAACCTCAGTAAAATTTTTGGACAGCTTCGTTGAACAATTTCTCTGTAAAAAATGACATGGTGGCGGAAATGTTTAAATGCCGCAAGACGCTTGTGAAACTTCGGCGGGAAGGTGACGAAGTAGAGACGGTGTGGCTTTGGTAAATTTAAAGTTGGAGGCGAAAGAATTAAATAAATGTTCTGTGCAACAAAACAAAATAATGCTCTTCGTTTCCCGAATATGTTTTTTCAATTCTTGTAAAAAATAGTATGGGTCGTTTGGAGAAAGATCTTTATTGGATCTCGATCCTGGTTGCTTTTAATGGCTCATTTTTTCCACGCTCCAAGTACACTGCTAAAAGGGAGAAAGCCGTATGAACATCCGAGAGTTGCCAAATTTCCCCGGATAAAACTCGTATTCTTGAGGACTTGAGGAAGCTGGTGCAAATTTTTCATTGATATTTATAGATATTTTAGATAAAATTGAGAACAAAATTGTCCGAAAAATTGGAAGAGAAATATTAACAAACTTTCCCGAAAATTCGTGATTTACCGAAGGAAATTTCGCAACGCCTGAAGGTTCATACGACGTTATTCCTTAGCGCGGCAGAGATTGTGGTGTTCATGCTAGTGTTAATTTTGGATAATCTACATTCAGTACAAAAAATAAAAAATAATCCCTCTCTTATTGGTTAATTATGAAAATTTTCAACCCGTTCCACACGAAATTTGATTTCAAAAGCATGTCTTGTGATGTGAAACTTCCACGTTTCCCTTGTCGAGTGGTCCGCAGAGTTTGAGAAATACTTCTTAAATTTGGCAACACGGTTGATAATGCGGCGAAGAGATGCTGCTCATTTTCGAATGAGCTCGTGCCCGACATTCGAGACCAGGGACAGCATTAATTTCCAATAAGTAATCGTGATGAGGGACGAACTGCAATAAAATAGTTCAATTTGGTTTTAACTTCTTGTTTTGACCGTCAGAAACACATATTAAGCGCCTTCAAATGAACGTCCTGTGCCAAAAGGAACTATGTGCATACGGATCACGTGTAACATAGTTCCTTTTAGTATTAAAGTGTCCAAACGGCAAACAACACTGATGCAATGCTCAATTATGAGAAAGGATGTATGGTGGTTTGGACAGACCGTATATCTCCATAGTAAACTTTTTAAGGAGAAGTTCCAACCAATAAAGCAACTTCAATGTGTTTCACTTAATGGACCGATTTCAATTGAGTATATGATATTGACGTCACAATTTATTACTTTCTGAATACAGGGGTTTTTAAGCGTGATGCAATGCTAAATGCAAAAAGGACTTTTAGTGTCTTCTTGTTTTCAGCCCGATGCGTTGATGTCGGCAGTTATTTCTGCTCACGTCGTGATCTGAGAAGGAAAGTTGAGAACTGTGACACATTGTGTTAACTAAAAAGAGGGTAAATCCATAATGTATCCCAATCCAAAAAACCGCAACTGTCCATCAAATGGCATTTTAAACAAGTTAATCAAGTGGCATTTAAAAAAATGAGGGAAAAGAAAATCCCACGATAGTTAGTTGTGTCATTTTCTTAAAGAACAAACAGACATCACAAATCATGTCTGAAGGTTTGAAGTAATTGCATCACTTTTCTGTTAGTGAAAGTGATTCCGTCTGAGAAAAATCTCTCATTGAAAAATTTCGCATTGCGAGATGTGCGACCATACCTCGGCCTAAAATAACTTTAAATGAAGTCTGGCACGGAACTTGTGAGTCACTCTGCGGATAGAAATAAAACAAATGCCTATAAACACGTTTAATTTTAAAAATGTAAACTCGTCCTTGATTTAAAGTAAAAAAGTGTACCCACTTCTTTTTTATTGTAAGGCAAAGAAAATTATTTTTTACTCAAGAAATTTTTTTTGGAGTGTGATAGATTTTTTTATTTAAAATTCAAGTGAGGGTTTTCTCAGTTCAAAGAAAATCAACTCTGTCATACATGGTGACACACGTAATTTTTGCTTAATTTAAAACAACTTATTTTTAATGATTTCAATCAACTACATTTTTGCTTTATTTAAAACACCGTGCTTAGAATTAAAAAACAAGCAGGAAGCTCCAACGCATTCGCGTCGGTTTCCTTGGTAACCTTTGTTTGCTATCAGCTGATGTCGAGTAGTATGACTAGGAAGCTCCAACCACGGCATTCTTCGAAAAAAGCGCGAAAACTTATAGATTTGAATTTTCAAATTTTAAACGTAAAGTACATTTTTTCCAGTGCGAGATTAAAGCACAGATCCGTTTTGAATTATTGACAGTATCACCATGATTCCAAAAATACACTACACAACATAGCATTCGCTCACAGGAAAAATATATCAATTAAAATAAAATCAGTCCCCCCTAAACAGCAGAAAATGGCGCCGATTCCCATCAACCAACGCGCGGTCTCTCCAATGTAACATGGTCCATTGATACTCCCCAGCTGGGACCGTCCGGAATAGCAGCTCTAGTGCAAGCACCAGAGCCGCTAATATTCTTTCTTTCAAAAAATTTGTCGGAGTTAAATAAAAACTCCTCTAATTCTAAAAAAAAGTTATAAAACTCTAGACAATTATTTCAACTGAGAACATGTTCTTTCATCGTTTGTTTAAAGTTAAAGTTGCTTTTGTTCAATGCTATTCATTTTCCTACACTAAGGTCGGCAAAAACTAAGCCACCCACTCAAGAAACTGGAAGAAGGAGTTAAAAGGACAGCTTGTCACGGCTCGGGAGATATATATAGCCATCAGAAACGATTCTTCCCCCTTCATATTTCCATTTTGACGGGAACCTATCAATTTATGCGCAAATACACAACCTACAACTTCTCTAGCGCCACCGCATCAAATTTCAGGGGAGTTGATTCCCAAGGCGCGGCGGCACAATCTCCGTCATCCGAAAACTGTACATATCAAGACTTGAAAAGAAAATCTTTATCAGATCTAATCTTCTTTTCATTCTGCCTCCCCGGTTCCACTTGAAATACAGACGCGGCTCTTTCCGGCAGACTCGCTTCGAGAAGAAGAGACTGCGTAAGAGAGGAAAGTAATTCCCTTCCCTGAAAAAAAAGAGCGACCGATGATGCTATTTTTCTCGACGAAAAATATCCCATATAATGTCAATGCTGCGTCGATATAAATGTTATCCGATTAGTGGTGTTGTCTCAATGTTGACACACTACCTAGACATTAAACTCATAACTTTTTCTTAAGGTGCTACTCGTCACGGTTTCGAACTGGCGTGCGATTTATCGCATCGATTGTGTCAAAAATCTCGGCAGATTTTGACTTTTTTGACAAAAAAAAGCATGACAGCTCCTGTGCATGACAGTGGCGAGTTGTGAATGATCGATTTTCGATAATTCCCTATTTGAAGCTATGGTTGAGAATCTTTTAACTTTTTCTTAAGGTGTGACTCGTCACGGTTCCTGGCGTGGTCGAACTGGTGTGCGATTTATCGCATCGAATGTGTCAAAAATCTCGGCAGATTTTGACTTTTTTTGACGAAAAAAGCATGACAGCTCATGTACATGACAGTACAGTGGCGAGGCGTGAATAATCGATTTCCGATATTTCGCCATTTAAAGCTATGGTAAAGAATCGATTATTAAGGTGTTCGTTGTGAACGCCCTGTCTATCGATCCTTTGCCATAGGTTTAAATTGCATATCAATCGATGCACCGCAAAGGTCATACCACTGGTACTTACATAAGTTTGAAGAATCAATCTAAATCACAAAAAAATTGGCAAAATGTAAAGAAATGAAAGCAAAATCCTGTTTGGAAAAACGCTATTTTGGCTTTTTCTTGCAATCTCTACTTCTTAGGTTTCATCTACCTTTGCCATTACCATTTTTATGTGTGCTTATTTGTAGTATTCTGAAAAATTCCTTTACTGAGTTTTAATTTTTTCCTCACCTTGCGTTAGAATTACTCTTATTTCATTATTGTGTGTTTCAGGTCCTTCCATGGAAGTTTCAGTTACCCTTTTCATTTTGCTCACAACGATCATTTGTCACATTCATGACTGGAGTTAAGAATCCAATCGAAAACGATGCTCACCAACCCCAGCCGCGAGAGCGTACTTTGCGACAAGAACAGAGACAGCGGCGATGCTTCAATTACGTGACTTTTTCATATCAATTACTGGTACTCGGAGTCCAGTATTCTCGCAAATTCAACATTTTTAGCGTATTTTTTTACAAAAATTGATATGTGTATCATACAAAAGTGTACTTTTAATTGTTAAATAATAAAGTTTTAGGAAAATTAGTTTATCTTATTTGAATTTTACACGTAATATGTTAAAACATATATTCGATTCGAATAACAATTTTAAAAAAAACCACAAATATAAAAAAGTAGAGCTTTGTTTATACATTGAGTTCAAATCTAGACCCAAAAACTTCAAAACGCAAAAAAATAAATCAAACATGTTTCAACTTACTTCGCAAAGGTTAAGAATTCGTGTAGAAAAACATCAAAGAAATTGTCATTTTGGATTTTTAAGGAAAATCCAAGTCATAACTTAAGGTTTGACTAAGTGCGTCATCTGCAAACACGTGAAAACTTCATTTTCATTGGATTTTTACATTAAAGTTGAGTCGAAACTAGTTTTGACCCCTGAACCTAGTTTGAACTCCAACAAATTGTTCTCTCCATTTCATGGCTGATGAATTCCAGAAAATCGCCTTCAAAACGTTACGATGCAAATAGATATACGTTTCGGACCTCTGCCATATGAATTGACACAGATGAAGGGGCTTTTTGTTTTTTGCCCGTCACTTAACAGCTCCATAATTGCAGGGATGAAACAGGAGTAGCCTAAGTAAACTGGACGTTGAATAATTTTGTCGTATTGTTTTTTTTAACAGAAAATGGGAAAAATTCCGTTTTAAGTTTTGTCTTGCCAATTTCCTGTAATCAAAAAAATTCACATTGGACTTCTCTACATTATATTCTTTAGTTCACAGTCGCAACAATAATGGCTTCAGAGCAACTTAGGCTATGTGATTTGCAGTCAGCCTAATTAATTTTACATCGTTAACGTAGGATATTAACGGTAAAAGTAGCTAGATCATCATAACAATCTCACCAAAAATATTTTTGATAACCAACATGTTAAACCAGTTCAATCTTATTTTTGATGAACTGTTTTTCAGCATTGAAAATACGATTCGGATGATGTCATATTTTGAAGTGTACCGTGTGTTAATGACTCAACTCAAAAATCACGTGTTTCAGTGTTGCCTTGTTTTTTTTTTTTTAGGAAAACAGTAGAAAATGGGAAATCTGCAGTATTTTTGAATGCGATTCTATAGTCGATCGCTGAATTGATACGAGTTCCTCTGCAACTCTTTACGACGAATCGATGTTAATTTCGTAGAAATGATACAGGCACATCGAAGACTCTTATTGGGGGTGTTTTAGTGATTTCTTCCCTCATAAATATCATATTATACTCTATACTCTATACTCTATACTCTATAATATAAAAGCATAGGGATATCGCGTAGCGCGTAACGCCGTAGGCGCAAAGCGCTTCAAGGGACGCCCCCCAGTTTGAAATAAATTACCACTTTCGACCGCAAAAAGAAAATAGCAACCAAGGAACATCCGGGAGATGCGCCGTTTATCGGGCAGATATTAGTAGATACGGTAGAGACAGGTTTGAAACTCCGAAAATCCATCAGGCCTTCCACCGATGCCTCCGCGAAAAGGGCCCAAAAGGGCAGCCAACCTATGAATTCTAGACCTAAGATAGATTCATTATTCGATTCATTATTCAATTGTTCTGACCCGTCGATTGTAAATCACGTATTTGATTTAGTTTTTGCATAAATTTACTCATCTTTGCGAAAGAACGCTCATTTATGAACATTCCTCGCCATCTTGCTTTAAATTGGAATCTGAAGATGGCAGTAAAATTTTCTGTGTTAGAAGGCTGGTTGCCCTTTTGGGCCATATGCCCTCCTTGAGGCGGAGCTGTCCATACTCTCGCCATAAAGGTATACAAAGAGAGCCCTAAGATACGTGGTCTCCCGGAGCGGATCCAATTTGGCAACACCGGATTTCCTCCATTTAAACCTATGCTAAATAATCGATTCTTATCGGAGCACCTGGCCCCTCCAAGAATCGATACATTTCCATCCACACACACACACAATGAGATTAGAGAAGAAAACAATCGTCTACGTCCCCTCTTACAAAATGTCATTAAAATATGACTCAGACTTAGTTCGCGCGCAGTTTCGCGAAATTTCGACGAATTATTTTGATTTCTCCTTCACCGAATTTCCGTCCAAGGCAACACCGGGCCGACATATCCCAAGAAACTGACGCGACACTGTCAAGGCTTTGTGCCAAGTACTTAATTTAGGGCCACAAAATAAAAAATATAAAAAAATAAAATTAAGGACGGCAGACGTCTGCATTTTGAGACGTGTTATTTTTGCTGTCAAGTCATATAAGTTGTATGAATACTCGAACATGTGTTCATTGGTTGCAGTTTCTCGACTGTGGCAAATCTTTTCCCGTTTCCCACCGCGTCGAAAAAAACTGGGGCAGTTAGCCATTCGTTCTTTTTAAATTTATTTTTTTACTTTTTTACATTTAGGTACGGTATGGCGCGTCCTTTTCATACAAACCACTGCTGTTAATAATAAACTGCACTGTAAGCTTTGAACCAATGATCGATTTCATTAACCAGAAAATGTCTATATATCTTCAAACGAGAATTTCAAAAAAATAACACACAGTTCGATGCGCGCTTTTTAAAACTCTCCTCATGTTTTGTTCAATGGCTCCTTTCGCTTACATTGCACTGTGGCCGCATATTTCATCTCTGTTTTGAAAGAGAAAAATTGAGATATTGCCTATTCACAGAAGAAATATACATAATAAACTATATGTCGACGGTGAAACTACCAAACCACTTATCTCGGTTTGCGACGTCGCAGACTTCCTGTCATACTTTATTTTTTAAATGAAAAACTTCTTAACGTCCAGTCTTGAAAATTTCTGTGATTTTTCCTCTTCGTGCGGAGAAAATTCTGTGAAAATTTCAAGGAATGATATTGATTTGGTATATATATATAAGTCGCTTTACAGCACTCCCTCGCGCTCTACGACTCCTAACCTCCACTGCTCTCTTTTAAACCACAAATCTTGGGGGATTGAGCACCTTAACATTTCCGCTTCAATCCCTTCCCTCCAACCTTTCATTGGGCGCCCTCTGCGTCTTCTCCCAGGAGGAACCCAGTCAAGGACCTTCTTCGGCAACCTGTCTCCTGCCATTCTTTGGACATGACCATACCAGATGAGTTGTTTCGTCATAATGTCATGCACGATGGTCTGCTTGGCATCCATGATTTGGATTGATTTGGTCTACTTCAAAAAAATAAAATGCGAGCGTAGATTTTTAAACACCGCGAACGAGATACGTGGTTTGGTAGTTTCACCGTCGATGTGCTGTTTCTTGCACCAAAGACAATATATAATGTTACCGGAAACAGCGACAGCAGAGTAGAAACGCACACGCCACACCGCACAGTGGAGCGAGTCAATAAAATAGTTTGGACATACCTTTTGGGCTGAAACTGCAAACTTGGATGTTTCTTTCGTCAAATTTTAAAGTTTGTGGGGTTTTTCCAGAAGAAACTTTGATGAGATCACGAACTGAACCTCTTTTAAAACATCAAAAAACCTTATTGATGAGGATATAACGCTTTCAAAGTTTTTAAATCATGTCTGACCGCTCCCATTGACTCGATCCTCTGTGCGCCGGCCGGACGCTTGCTTGATCATTGAGGAACTGAGGAATCGGTCGTTTAGGGAGGTAATCACGGGAGAATTTGGCGCCAAAAACGTGTTAATCGCGCGAGTTATTACTTCGATACGTGCAGATAGAGGTAGGAAGAGGGTGCCAGATATCAATTCCGATACTGCTGTCATCAAACATGAAATACTCGTAAATGAATACTTGTTTTTCACGGTTGTTTCGTCTTTAGTTGAGTACCTATAAAGTTCGTGAAGTGAGAGTGACCTGGAAGATTCACAAGAATTTGATTAGAATGATAAGTGAAAATGCAACGAAAGATGAAGGATTCGTAAAATAAAACTTTCTGCCCGGACACAAGTAGATGTGTTTACTTTCTTATACCTTCATTTTTGCACTCTATGGTCTTGTTCATGCTCCCATGAAAATCTACATCACGCTCTCCTATGCTTTGATTTTACTAGACAGGGACGGAATTAAGGAGCACACGTATTACTTCTTCAGAATTTCACGTGAAACACGACGGAGACATCCAAAATACCCAAAGTCAGCTCATGAGTGGAAAATCAGCATCCTTGTTTTCGTTCTTTCGGAATCCCATACTTGCCAAAAAAAACCAATGTTTACTTATACCTATACAATGTGCCTCCTGAATAATTTTAGTCTTCATTCCGATGACATAATTTACCTAATTTGCTGACTTTCTCTTGGGTATTTTACAAATACGATATATCGGAATGGGAAGGAAATCTGTGGAAAATCCAGAATTGCTCCTTTTCCGAACTTCTTCCATTAGGCGATTTGACCTACGTTGATTTTGGTGTTTCGTGAGCGAGAAGTTTGAATTTCCCGATTTTTCTAATAACCATATGATTTAGACGAGTCACTGTTGAAAATATTGGAGTGAAATTTGGTGTGTTTTTCACTCTATAGTCTGTTTATGAGATTCAAAAATATTCAAATGATACGAATGCCGAGCAGAAGATATTATTTTACGGAGTGATTTTCAACTTTACAGTTCGAAATCTACACTACGCAACTCCACAATAGCGGTGTTTCGCACGCTCTCATGGTGTAAACTCATATCAATCGGGTTGTTTAGGCGCTACATATGTACAGGATGATCCAAAAGTTCCGCAACACTATCACCAGGCATCATCTTTGCAATTGTCGTACGAATTGAGATAGGGACTTGAAATGTGAGTTCGCATAGCTTAAAAAAACTCCTTTTTCGGACCCTTATAATTTTACGAGATTTACTCGGCGGAGGCCACTTTAGGGGCTATAAGGGCAGCAGTACTAGGCTTTTGGGTGACCATAAATTGAATTTTAAGTAAAATATACATTGAATTACAATTTGAAATTTTAAACAGTGAAAAGTTTTGAAATTAGGGGTCTAGAGAACAAGGCGCATAAGTGTAGTTTTTGCTCTTTCAAGAAAATACGTGTTGAAAGTATCGAAATTACATGGATTCTCATGGCGGAAAGAAACTGATTTTTCTATGCTTAACAATCGGAATTTGGAAGCGAATTTTTCAAAAAACATGCACCAAGACTATTTTCACTTGAAATCATTGATATCTCAATTTTTTCAAAAGCTCCACTTATGCGCCTTGTCTTTCAAGCCCCTCAAATATTCCAGTATTCCTTCCCTCTATAGTAGTCCACTCCTCGATTTTGAGTCTTCAATGCATCAGTGTTTCTTTTTCCCGGTAGATGATCACATTCTGTCTCCCGTGCTTTTGTTATTTTTCTAGTCGCTCGTAGAAACACGTCTTACTGGTGGGCGGTCGCGGCGGCGGAGTCGCGGCAACAGAGCCTAATCAGTAATTCACTGTCTTGATAAACTGATCGTCGAATCGTCATAACCTTTGACTCAAAAACACTCGGCACTCATTACGCGAGCGCGCGGCGCTTTTAGTCATCCCATCCGCCATCCAGTACCCCACGGGCTCCCTGTCCCGACGCCGCCGCGTTTTCTCCAAACGATGCCGCGAGCCATCCCTCCCACCCCCGCCGCGGACGCTGTTTTATTTTCGTGGGAATTTTTCGTCGCTTTTTATTCCGCGATGACACGACACACGAGCGAGGAGGAGTCATGAATCAAAATTAGTTTATCAGTTTAAGGCCGCAGTCTTGGGATGCTTTTTTATTTTTAGTTGACGCCACGCCGCCATCCAGTGCGGGCGAATTTTTCGGGGTTTTCTAGTGCGTTTTTCACGCGTCCCTCGTGCGATTTTTCCTCGGGTCTCGGAGACGTGATCGCTGTGAAACATGAAGTGTGGTTATTTGATTGTGGTGTTTTGTGCCTTCACAGGAATACTGTCCGCCCCTGCTGTGGATGAAGGTAATTTTAAAGGAGTTTTGTCTTTTCGTCATTTCCTGGACGAAGGAACGTAGCTCCATTCTTTAAAAAAATTGACTCAGACAACTCAACGATGTAAGTCGGCAATCACATAGCTCAGTTTGCGACGTCGCAGACTCCCTGTCATACTTTATTCTTTAAACAGAAAACTACTCAACGGCAAAGAAAGTTCTGCAAAAACTTCATAGACTTATGTCAATTTGTTTAAAAAAATAACATAGAGGCGGAGATTTTTAGACAACGCAAACGACATATGTGATTCTGGACTTACGACGTCTAATTACATTTTATGCGAGAAAAACCTGGACAATTTTGTCCAAAATTTATCAGAATTTTGCGTGAGAGCAAAAGAATAATCAGTGAAAAATATCCAAGTCTCTCCCGGTGAAAATACAATTTGCGAGGAAAAATTAGGCAACATCGGAATATAGTTACGTTCCTTCGGACGGGATATGAAGTTTCACGAATGATTGGATTCGTTGAGGATTTAAAAGGAGAAATAAGAATCACCGGAGACAAATTGTGACTTGATTAAAGCAGAATCTGATAAAAAAAAATTCGACGTCATAGCCCGATTCAACGATAAAATACAAGATATTAACACTAAGAAAAGGGTGTAACAAAGGTTAAGATATGGTGAAAAGAAAACCAGGGCGTTTGGGCCAAGAATGTGCATGTAAATGGCCCAAAAAAATTGGCGGTGTAGTTACCATATTTTAATAGTCTTGTTATGCTCATTTTTAGTGCCATTTTCTTGTATTTTAAGCACTTTTTGTATAATTTCCCGTCCGAAAGATCCATCGATCCATATCAAGCAATCGCATGAGTAAAGCACGTATTTGCTCGATAGAAGCGACTTTCTTAATATAGGAATTTTAATTACGTTGTTAAAAATTCATAGCGCACAGAAATCCCGAGTAATATGAATGCGAGGTAAAATTGGCATTATAAAAGCGTATGACAATTCGCAAAAAGGTAGATTCCGCTCCCACTGAAAAATAAAGTTTGGTAAATCCGAACTAGTTAGGATGATATGGGACCAGGTTTGGTACACAAAACTGAATTATTCGGTCTGTTCAACCGAACTCTTACAAATTCTTATATTCCGGTTCAGCGGACCAAACATTTTGGTTGAGCAGTCCGAATAATTCGGTCGTGTATACCGAATAAAACCTGGTTCCATATCATCCCAACTAGTTCGGATATAACGAATTTTTTTTTCCAGCGATTGTGTTAATCACTCTGTTAGGATAGATTCCACTCCGCATTCGTATCTATCGGGGTTTTTGGGCGCTGTATAGACTTCAGCACAGAATTTTACACCTCGTGCCCTAAATATCAATATTTTTAAATGGGGATCTCCCACTTTGACACGCGTGTCGAGCGTTTATTTTGCCCATACCGTCATGTCAAGTTGAAGTAGCACATTACTAGGTCATGTTAAAAATCAGTAGAATGATAAAGATATCATCATGTTGATTTTGTCCTAATCAAATGTATTGTCGAGAACACGCGCCGTTCAAAATTATCACCCGAAATCTAGTGGGAATATACCCTAATATTCTAGGTCTCAAATAGATTCATCTTATGGGCCGACAACCGAATATTTCACATTTGAATCAGTGAGTTCGATAACACACCAACTCGGTAACTCGAAATTGCTAAATTTTCACAAGAGACGGTCAATTTTTATAAAAGTCATTGAAGTTAGCGCATCTGTTCCAACTTGGACCTTTAAAATGCCCTTAAGTGCTTGTGCTTCGGCACCAAAAATCTCTCTCTTAGACTAATTTCTTCATTTACTATTTGGTTTCGTGTGTGTCTTGATTCTTTTCATTTTTCCGAGTTGGTGTGTTTTTGTTCTCACTGTTTCATTTGAGGGGCTTGGAGGAGAAAGCGCATAAGTGCTGTTTTAAAAAAATTGAGATATTAATGATGTCAAGTAAAACTTTTCTTTATGCACATTTTGTGAAAAACTCGCTCCAAAATTCCAATTCTGAAGCATCAAAAAGTCAGTTTGAACTTTCTTCTTGCCGTAAGGATCCATTTAATTTCGAAACTTCAAACACGTATTTCTCGAAATAACAGAACCCGTACTAACGCGATATGTCGTTCAAGCCCCTCATTTTTACCATAGCAACAAATCCGATAAACTGACCTGCGCAAGCATGACGCACATCTGTGAAATGCTGAGCAAACTATTGATCGATTCGTGCAACTGCATAAATTCCTTAATTATTCCCATCTAGGAAGAAATTCTAATTATCAATCTACAGTGTTACGGTGTGTCAACTCAGCATTACGAATGATAGATTAGACCACTAAAAGCAAGGAAATCAGTGGATTTCAGTCTTATCGAGAGCGAGAGGTTTGAATCGACTGATTCAAGTGTGAACTATACGCTATTTTCTTAACTATTCGTAGATTTGAACATGTTTAATACGTTCGACTTGTTTCACGTGAAATTTGCATGATGAAATATGACCAGTAACGTTTCACTGGAACCCAAATGAGGGGCTTGGAGGACAAGGCGCATAAGTGCTGTTTTTGAAAAAAATGGAGGTATCAATGATTTCAAGTAAAACTAGTCTTAATGCATATTCTGTGATAAATCCGCTCCCAGATTCCAATTTTTAAGCATCAAAAAGTCAGTTTGAACTTCATTTTCGCCGTAAGGATCCATGTAATGTCGAAACTTCAAAACGTGGGTATTTCTCGAAATAACAAAAACTGTTCTTATGCGCCTTCTCCTCCAAGCCCTTCAAATATGGTCGATTTCACTATATTTGAATATATAGTAATAGGATCATAGTAATCGTTAAAAGAATTTTCGACAGCATACCCCATACTACAGTAGCATTCGCCATGAATATGGTAATGCAACTAAGAGTCTGGTTTCCCTCGCCCATTAGTATCACTGTGTCGGAAAAAAGTAGACTCATAATGGAATTTACCATACTTTTTTCAAGAATTTAAGTGTCATTCTGTCAAGTGGTCCATTGGCATTACATGTGACTGAGCCTTCGTAATCAGACAAAACAAACGGATCTAATGGCTTGGCTTGATTATATTTGTAGTCACCGAGTTATAGGTTCGTAGCTATAGACCTCGGAGTTTGAGTTAAACTGTAAATTTTTTGGAAAAATTTGTAAAATCTGTAAAATTAATATAAATCGGTATAAATCTGGGGGTAGGTATCTTGGGTTTATCTGTGTAAATGTCAATTTTTACCCTGATCTCTGGTTCATTACCACCACACTTCGATGGCTAAAGTGAGAAACCACGTATCTCCGTTTCCGACGTAGCAGACTTCCTGTCATACTTTATTTTTTCTTCTGAAACCTAGTCATGACAATTCCTTGAAAATATCCTTGATTTTTCTTCCTTATCAGTAGAATATCCCGCGTAAGCAAGCTATTATGTTAACTTGTTTCTCCTCGAAAAAATAAACTAGGAGCGGAGATTTTGAAACGCCCCAATAAAGATACCATTGGCGGATCTAGAAAATTGGCAACATTGTTTTTTCTCCATTGAATATCCTATGGAAATGTATCGATTCCTTGGAAGAGCCAAGAGCTCCGACAAGTATCGATTATTTAGCATAGGTTTAAATGGAGGAAATCCGGTGTTGCCAAATTGCTGGATCCGCGTCTGAAAGATACTTCGTTCCCAAATTATCTGATGACATAAAAGTGTCTGTCACGGGGAAACCAAACTAAACCCAAGATATAGTGGGAGTGGTGTTCTTACATAAAAAAAAAGAGGAAAGAACCTTTCCCAAACATTTTTAAAATTTCTCCGCGATGTTTTTTACCACGTGGAAAAGAAGAACAATTTGCCTAAAACAATTTTCTGATGTCATTGTTAGGGGCGGAGATGAGTCACTTTTAGGACTCACGCTTCATGACGGAAGTGCAAGTTTAGTGCGGTGATGATCGGTGAGTGTACATACGTGTGATTGAGTTCGAGACGAAGTCAAGGTCAACGTTCAACGACAGGTGGGAGGAGCCGATGCTCGGTGTATGATGACTGATGACGGAGGGCGGCTCCGCGATTCGTGGGGTTATCTTCAGATATTGCATAAAATGCAAGACAACATGAATGAATGTTGCACTGATATTTAATAAATTGGCTACACTGTTGCCAACTGCCAAACGTATTTTCAACCTCAATTATTAATCATAATGGAGGGGATTGGAGGACAAGGCGCATAAGTGAAGTTTCTGAAAAAAATGGAGAATTAATGATTTCAACTAAAACTAGACTTAATGCATATGTTGTGAAAAATTCGCTCCTGAATTTCAATGTTTAAGCATCACTAAGTCAGTTTGAACTTTCTTTCCGCCATAGGGATCGTGTCATACGAATTAATAATTTTAACTTTCGCCGCTGCGCTGCGCTGATCGCACTGTGATTGGCGCAATGCGTGAAGTATTCCTGCAGTCTTGTAGGCGCTATACGTTTCACGTCAACTGCTCCTGACCGCACTGTGTTTAGCGAAATGGGTGAAGTATTCATGCAGTCTTGTAGGCAGGCACTAATAATATGTGTAACATGCCGATCGCCGCGCCGAGGGCTTGTCTTTTTCATCTCAAGTCCTCGTCATCATTCCTCTCTGCGTTGAGCTCCAGGCCAAATTGCGTGTTTAGTTCCTCTCTTCAGTCTACTAAGTAAAGATGCTATTTCTTGTATCACCGAAAAACGACAAAATTTGAAATAACTATACTCTCAGAAAAGAGGGATTTCGGCCCCTTTTCTCATGGATATTTTTTTTTCCTGAATCCGATTTTTCTTTATAGCTACATATAAAAAAATTGCAAAATTTGCCGCCCCCTAAATTTGCCGCCATGGGCCGCGGCCCATGTGGCGACCCCCTTAATCCGACCCTGCTGCTGACCGCTTACCGTTGTGCGTTTTTATAATACGCGCGATCATTTCTGACTGTTTTCTTCTTTAAGAAAATGAGCGGCAAATTGCAGTTGTGGATGCATCATTCACTAATATAGTTAACAACTCCTCCCCTTTTTCCAGTCAGCTCGCTATGACTATTCAACCATTTAGACGCTGACTTTTCATGACTGATGTTCCATTTTGATAGATCACTCACGATTCTCTCAGTGGCGTGGCGTGCATTGTGATACTTCGATTGATCTGCCATTTAAACCTATGGAAAAGGATCGATGTACGAGGTATTCGCAACAAACACCTTAATAATCGATTCATTACCATCGTTTCAAATGGGGAAAAATCGATAATCGATCATTCACTCGCCACTGGATTTTCTTGGGATTTCCGCTTGGAGATGCCTGACGTATTCTTAATCTCAACACTCGCACTTTTCATGCTTGATGTAATAGGCTATCTAAGATAGTTTTTTCTCGATGCATCTTTTCGCGATAAGAACTTACCTACGTCATAAAAAAAGACGCAGCTTTTCGAGGAAATTGGCGAGTGTTTCCCCTCGGAAAACTCTTCGGAAAATTCTTCGCGATAGACACTGATTCTGCCTCGATCACACAACGCCATACATAACTTTTGTTTCTGTCTTAGATACAGCGTTGACCTTTTCTAGTTATGCCATTTTTCGAAAAAACCATGCACCAGTGGTCTGATTGTTGAATTGGATAGACAAAGAAGTCATAGGCAGTATGGAGCTATCCTATTGGTTGAAATGGGTGGTTCCTAAGACTAAGGAGGTATATGAAGGACTAACTAAAGAGTTTCTCTTGGTTGCCGTTAGTAAGTCTATTACCTACCTCCTTTTTCCGTTGCAACCATCCGCTTCCACCAATAGGATCCCTCCATATTTCTTTCGTATTATTTGTCTATAGCTTTGTCTATCAATTTCAACAATCAGCCTGCAATGGATACGTGTAATCGTCCACTGGAAGAAGGACCCTCCTCAACCTCGACCTTCGACCTCAAACTTGAATTATTGATACCAAAGTACGAAGGAGTGGATTAAGATTGTTTCAGCACAAAAAACGCTAAAAATGTTCAGGCTAAAGTCAAAAACGTAGTGTCCAGGAAAAGCGATGTAAATTTTAATCTGCCACGGTAGTAGGGGCTTGATATAGGGTCGGATTAAATAAGTTACCCTACTCACCTTCCCCCGTAGGTTTCGAAAAGAAAAATAACGCTCGTAACTTACTCTGTAAGAGAGTGTGAGTTTTCCGTCGAAATCTCTAAGTCCAATTTTTGGACCGATTCACCGAGACGTAGTCCGATTCTCAAAATTTTCATGGAGTGGAGGGACCGTTCGTTAAAGAACATATTCAAATCGTTACTTTGCAGGAAACTGATTTAAGAATTCACGTTTGAGCATGCCTAGTATGAGTAAAAAAGATCAAATGTTTAATGAGCCTCCGGAGAGGGGCCATTCTGGGCCAAGGTAACTTCTTTTTTCTTATATTGGGGACGGTTTCACCAGGCAACTAAACTAACTGTGGGGCAAAGCGTGAAGTATCACGTGAGGCTGAAGGCGTTTCAAGCCGAAACGAGTTCTGAGAATTATATAGACTGCATTTTGCAATTTAGGACTATAAATTCTAGCCCGGTTTAAAAACAACGTATTTGCCATTAGTTTCCCTATGCACATAAGTGTTTTTCTAGAGGAGCCAGAATTTATGGTTCCAAATTGCAAAATGCAGTCCATATGGGATTGAGAGTTCAACGCAGAAAATACATGAGGGCGATGTGTTTTTTTTAAAACTCTGAACTGAAAATCTGTGCAGAAGCTCAGTTTTTAACTCCTAGCACACAACACGAAGTATGACCCGCTGAATTCGTACGTATTTTTGTTGTAAAGTTTAGTAGTAAAGACGTTGACATTGAACACTTGATTCTACAAATATAGGATTCAAAAGTCCAGAGTTGGAATTTCTGAGCTTACTTTGTTAGATTTATACCACGTTCAACCAGTCCATAACTGTGCATTATATTAGATGTACGTATTTTTTTGAGCATATTTACGGAAATAATACAACGTGATAATCAGCTTCTGGTTTTTGACGTTTACTGATGCGGCAAGCCATATTACTGCTACAACACTTGAATTGGACGTACTTCTGCCAAACGGCACTATGTGCATTATGACGATTTTTATTAACATTTTTCAGTCTAGTGGGTGGAGTGATTCAGACCCGCTACAATTTATCCTATTTTTTAATTTTTTTCCAGAATCCACACCCTCAGTGAGCACAACACCACAGCTCGAAATAAAAAATGAAGAAAGCGAGACCACCATTGGCCCCACGTCACCGAAAACGGAGGAGTTGCCACCGACGACAGTAGAAACTGTCGTTGCCTCTTCTCCGGAAACGACAGCAGAACCAGAGCCAACGATAGCTGTCGCTACGTCATCGATAGTAGAAGATGCAAGTTCCACGGTCCCGCCCACCGAGGGACTTCCAGTAACCGAAGTCCCAGCCTCTGCGGCTCCTGAAGTGCCAGCCACGACCATCTCTAGCGAACCGGAGCTAATCGGCACAACAACAGCAGAGACGTGGTTCAGTTCCTGGTTCGCCAGCACGAACAGCGAGACAGGAACGACGGAACCAACAAGGGTCGAAACCACGGAGACTGGGACTACCCCGGCAGCAACCACCGAGGCTGGGACTACGCCGATGTCGACGGAAGTGACAGTGACGTCAGAATCGAGCGTGTCCACGACGTCGGAGAGTGGGACTTCCGTCACCGCTCCGACTTTCCTGTCGACCACTCCGAGCTCCTCGAGCGTCTTGGAGAAGACCAAAGACGTGGCTTTCAAGTTGAGCGACCAGGTTCGCGCCGTGCTGCAGCACTACAAAAATCCGGATCCGACCGGATTTCCGGGCGCTCCGGTTCCGGATCCCATGCCGATTCCGGATATGGACAAGTCCTTCGGAGTCGCCAAGATGAACTTCAAGAATGTCATGGTCTACGGCCTGTCGAAGTTCCGGATCGATCAAGTTAACACGGATTTGGAGAAGATGGAGGTGAGAAGTGCATTTGAAGTTTTACTCACAATGAAAACAATTTGAACTTCTTTCTTATATTAAAACTTTTAAAACCGTTTTTGAAAAACTCACGCTTTCGCTAATTCGTTATTTTCCGATATGTAAAAACGTAAACGCGCGGGTCGATTCGATCATGTTCAAACTTGAAATTATATACAATACACACTATAAACACGAAAAATAACAAATTAGTGAAAGCGTGAGTTTTTCCATAAAGTTTTTAAAAGTTTTAATACAGCTTGTACTGTTTTCCAAAAATTTCGATTATTTTAGTTTTATTGCTGGATCCTAACTCCTGAGGTCCAACCTCAACTTGTAGATATAACGGCTATGTCTAATTTCTCGTGGGTGGATCTCAATTCGAGTTGTGGATGGATCATAATTAGTTTTGGCTACACAACTTGTCGCGGCCAAATCCCAAAAAATTAGGGCCCAGCCGTAAAGACCTAGATACACACGGCGATCAATCGCCGCGATTGGAAGACGAAAGCCAATAGAGAGCCTTGATTTCGATATATCGACGTCAATGGATCGAAATCAAGGCTCTCCATTGGTTTTCGTCATCCAATCTCGGTGATTAATCGCCGTGTGTATTTAGGCCTTAATCTATGGGCCTCTAGACATGGTATGAATTAAAGTACCATGCAGCATATTTAATCTACAAAATCTTATATAGAAAACGATTTGTAGAGCAGTATATGAAGAAATTATATAATGAACAAGATATAAGTGTTTAGAATCAACAATAGTCGAATCGCACCGAAACAAATGGCGCCATTTTTATAACGTCATTTCCACTTGACCTGCTGCGTTAAAATACTAACTTGCCATTTTCCGAACTTTCTGTTCTGTAAATCGTTCGCTATACAAGCGATTTTGACGCGCAAACATGTGCCGTTTCTTTATAGTTTAGACCTTGTCTAGTGGCCAATTAGAAGAGGTCATTTTATCCAAAAATTGCTTTGATGATCAAAAACTCAAATAACGCTGATTGCCAAATTGTGTTTTATAAAATACAAATTTTGTGAAAAATGTCATCACTATTATGATTCCAATTTCCTGGTTAGTTTGATTCAGATTTTTTTTTTTTTTTTTTTTTTTTTATAAATTTTATTGATATTAACCAATACAATAAATGTCACTACTACCTAATTAACCTAAGGTATCTATTGACTATTTTTAATATTTAGTTAAAGTTTTAAAGGTAAAGAACGTATAATAAGTATTCTAATACGATACTTATTATTCTAACTAACAGTATTTAATACTGCAGTTGTTGTCTTAATATAATATTGATTCAGATTTCAAGCTGAAATATCTAAAAATCTCAAGAACAACACATAAATAACCTTTGTCAGTAATCAATATCTTATCAAGAGATCAAGAGAAATTTGGCAACAATCGATTATTCATACGGCGTTTTCCCTCTATACAACAGCTTAGTTCACTGAACTTACTTTTCCCGACCAGCCGGGTGTGATACTCATCTAGGTCACTGTGTTACGCGCCGAGGTGGACTGAACTGCACTTTTACGACTAACACGACGCCACTGGCGATTCTTGCGAGTCGGCAACATTGTTTTTTCTCCGTTTAAATGTATGCTAAGCTATCGATTCTAGATGAGGCAGCCCGTCACACCAAGAATCGATACTTACAATGGATTTAAATGGAATGTTAACAGTATTGCCAACTTGCTGGAATCGCCACTACACGGCGCGACCGGGCTAAAAGAAAACGGGCGTACAAGCATTCGATCGGGTCCAAATTTTCTCGAGCAGACTAATAACCGTCGAGAACAATAATTGTTCTCGACGGTTATTAGTCTGCAACATCGGACAACGGTTATTGGAAACATATTTTATTTGAAGCTTTAAGATGCACCATATCAAACTGCAAGTAAGATCCGTTAGAAATTGAGCAGATAAAGTCGCAAGTTTATCAGAAAATTTGCATTTTTATCAAAAGACATTCGGCTTGAATGCTATTCTTAATTAAGGCAAAACTACGTAAAAGAGATACAGCAAACCTAGGTCCTAAGTATACGCGAACGAGTAAAGTAGATACAGCTGACTGATGATTACATGCACCGTCACGCACAAGGCGAATTTTGTCAATGAGTGGCATGCGTTATTGCGTAATTTAAGACACGGTATCATGAAAAAATCCAAGGTAGAGGTACCAAATTTCACTATCAGAAGTTTGATATTTTGAATATGTTCTTTTATCAGGTATATTAACTGAAACTGCTTACTCTAATGCACTTAATTTTTCGGTTTTTTGGCACCGCCACCCCCTCTCCTGTAATGCTCCGTAACGCTGTGCTAGATCTCTTCTAAAAAATTACGTAACGCTTGCGCAGGTCACTCCCCCCCCCGATATTGATAAAAAAAAATAATCTAAATATCACCGTAGATTTACTGAACGGATTGGCGTTTCTATTCAGTGAGGAAAATGGAAAGTATTGCAGGGAATATTTTCGAGATTCTTCGAAACTCCTAAAGATGACCGACGAAAAATTATACGGAAAGTCGAAAAAAATCACTTTAACTCGTTTCGTAACGTTTCAACCTGTACGCGCCTTTCCCTATAGCGACACGTTACGCTGGCAATAAAGACCCCCGACCCTCCCCCCTTTTTGGGGTTTTACGTAATTTGGACGGCGTTAAGCAGAGAGGAACCAAGCCACATCAGCTACTGCCAAATCGAATTGGGCAATTTGATTGTTTACATAAAAACGATTGTGCGGATTTTTGTAAAAATTTCAGTAAGTTTTCTGTATAGTGCGAGGCAAATTCCTGAAATTTTCAAAGGAATCTGCACAAACGTTCTCTCGTAAAAAAATTAAATTGTCCAGTTAAATTTGGCGCTAACTGACGTGGCTTGGTTCCTTTCTGATAAACGCGGTCCTTTTAGGATCGGCTAAGGACCCTTCTATTTAGAATAAATATAATTTAAGTAAAAGAAAATCTTCAAACTTAAAAAATTTGGCGGTAGCTTAACCTAACTAGAGGAATCTGCTCTGTAATTGACAATCCACAATCTGTGAATCGTGTGCTTCCTTTAGAATCGATCAGAAAATGCCATTTAAAGTTGCATCTCTGGATAGGTTCCCTGAATCGGCGAGCTCTCTGTTTGCAGGTTTACGTTCAGCTGCACATGAAACGTTTGGTGGTTGTCGGGAACTACACCCTTCGTAGTTGGTTCAACAAAGCTGCCGGTCCGTTCTCAGTGAATCTTTATGACGTCGTCGCCGAGGGTGCTGCTGCTCTGGAGCCGGACGAGCAAGGTCACTTGCAGGCGTCGGACACCGACATGGATATGACATTCAAAGATATTGATCTGGATTTCAAGAATATCGGCTTTGCCGGCTCCTTCTTCCAAGGCATGGTTAGTAGTTCCAGTAAAGACATTGCACACTGAAAAAAAATCTCGGTGTATTTACTAAGAAAGGGGTAAAATTACCAAGAATTCAGGGTTCTATTTGATCCCAGTTTTTTCTTGGTAAAATTACTATATATGGAATTGGTAATTTTACCGAGAAATCTCGGTAAAATTATTGAACTTTCCCGGTATTTTTACTGGACCTTGGTAAAAATGCCAATATTTTTTATCGACTGTGGTAAAATTACCGAGATAAAATGGCAAAGTTAGTGGGAATTGATTACCAATGAAAGTGATATTCTTACCTGAAAAAAAAAACAGTAAAAATACCGGTTTTTAGGTAAGCTTACCAGTCTGTCTTTGTAAAATTACCAATAATTGGTAAAAAAGTGAGATCGTAAAGGTCCCAACGGACCTTGGTAAAAACGCCGAGAATTTTTTTTCAGTGAGTCGGAGTGCAAAATCATAGATTCGTCATTTTTCCTGTACAAAAGTCCATCCGAAACTTTCTTCTTCCTGAAATCCTGAATGTCACAGCAGTTCCTTACGGGCTGCGGCTATGGTCTGGAGGCACTTTCATTACAGCTCCGATCTCCTCTCGATCTCGAAATTCCTGCCGAAAGAAATTCATATCCGTTGCTCCTAGCATATCCTGTGTCCCCTTCTTCATTTGTGATTTTACCTGCATGTCTAAAAATCCATGCAAAACTTTAGTTTTCTTAATTGGCTTAACAGCCCTTCATGGTCTTTGGCCTCAAAAAAAACTTCTCGACATTCCATTCTATCTTTATTCTTCCTCCTTCATCTTTGCCATTCCATCGTTCCTAAGCTTTTTTATTCGACTACGCAACAGGCTGCCTTTACAGTCTTTACACTCTTACGCTTAGAAGCTACTGCTAGATCTATTCCCGATTTGTTTTGACATGCGGATTGCATTTAGCAAAAAGGAACCAGCGCGACCCTGGTAAAAATTGGCGATAGGAGCTGTGTTTCAAAATACCATAAGAGTTCTTAAAGCCAACTGAAGGAGGCGATAGAAAATCATAAAGCTGGTTGTAGGAAGTGAAAAAAATCATATGGCCGGGCTACACGAAGCTATAAAAAATTATACAGTCGGGCTATAGCTCCTATCGCCGGGCTTTACACTTTATTGCCTGGCTGATGCTTTTTCGCCATCGGCTATAAAAGGCTATAAGAAATTGTGTAGAAATTCGAGTGCTTTGTAAATCCTTAAGTTTGTGTGGAATCACCTTAATATTTACAAAACGCTCATTACATTTTCCTTTACTACATATTTTTTTTTTTTCATCAATTAAAATGATAATAATCCATACAGAGTGTGCAAACATTTCAAAGTCATGGGTTGAAAAACGCTGACTCCACGAGATTTAATATTAGAGCCTAACACAAAGCGGAGCGGCGGCGCACTGGCGCCTACAAACCTAACAGGGATACTTCACGCATTGCGCAATGCGTGAAGTATCCGTGTTAGGTTTGTAGGCGCCAATGCGCCTTTCGCGCTGGCTGCCCGCCCGCCGCGCCGCGCCGCAGCGCACCACGGAGTAATATTTTGTTCAAAAATAGTAAAAAATTCTTACGAAGTAAAATTTTTACATCACTGTACTAGCGCTGGTTCTGTTTTGCTAAATGCGATCCATGTGGTTTTCTCAATGTACTTACCTGTAAATAGAGAGTCGACGAGTAAGATCACGTCTTCTCTTGGCCTTAGTGTTATTGATTTAGCTGGCTTTCATAGAGTTCTGAGGGTCCATTAACTAAACCCACCGAGAGAAATTCGTGATTTCGGTGAGGAAATTACTGAGATACTGACGTAAATGAGTGTCATTCTCGGCAAAAATATCCAAAACACAAATAAAAATCATATAAAGCTTTTATAGAACTCGATTCAGAAATTTGAAAATAATCCGAGATCAAAAATTTATTTTCGCACTTAGGAGTCTCTCGAATTTTCCCTGTAGTGGACAAAATCTGTAACTGTTCAACGTGTATGTAAGTTCAAGATAGTCTCATGCTAAGGAGCATGATGAGGATATTCCGCAGATTTTAGGTACTTTTTTTTTTAGAAAATGCTGTCTTTAACGAGTCAGCAATATTTCTCCTAGCATCTCTATCATATGTCCGTGATAACAGCTTTTATCTCTCAACCGTAAAGCTCACAATCAGCACCGGGGTAGCAGCCTAGTGTCATACATCAGGATTGAGGCACTAACAAGTAGCGCTCTCTATGATCTTTACGGAGAAGATGCTTGCTGTGTTAGTTCGACTCAGTTGCGATAGACGGCGTCATCAGTTATGCCAAGTTGTGCGACAGACAGAGTGCTTCAATCCTGCACCTATACCCTCATAACGCCTTTCCTGAGTGTATCAAAGACTTTTAAGAGTTTTTTTTTCTCAAAATAAGGTTTTTTACAGTAAGGCACACTTTTTTCAGGACGTACTTTTTGAATTTTCCAAAAATTTCTTTGGTTTTTTTTACACTTTTTCCCTCTAACTACCAACGAGAGGGTCTCTCTCATTATAACTCTTTAAACAATGAATCTGAGAGGCCCGTTAGGCGAATTTTTTAAATTTTGTTTTTCGAAAAATCAAGAAATTTTCTGTTTTTCAAACTTTCAAAAAATCATTTCGTCTTAAGCAAAAGGAAAGTCTAAGGAATCTAACATTTTTTTTTTTTTTTTGAAAAGTTATCCAGTGGAACTTAAAAAAATTGTATGTACTTCAGCATTAGTAAATTTTACATTGTGAAGGTAGGGACTCAAGACTTCCCTTAGAAGTTCATTCGACTTTATGGCTATTCACAAGGTGTTTCAATTGTTTTTTCTTTGAATTGATCACTATACCTCCGTTTTGTTTGCAGGTTAGCTCAGTGGGAACATTCCTGTTTGACAGCATTAAACCGTACATACTCAACGAAGTCAACACCAACATGCGCAGAGATGTGAACGCAAAGATCAAAACCATCACCAGCAAACTTCCCTCCTACGTCTCACCAGTTGATCTAGCCATCTCTGAGGGTCGTAAATACGTCGTCAAGATGGGTTATGACCCTTACCATCTCAAAGATTTCGAGTTCAACCAGTCAATCTTGCACATCAACGTCTCGGAACTATGGCTTAAGGTATTCGACTTTTAAATTATGCAAACATCCAACAAATTTAGTCAAAATGCCCTAATGTATGAAGAAAATGGCTACGAGTATATCTCGTGCTTCAGTCTTGACATCGCGATTTGCGAAGCATTGTTTGTAGAGCATGTATTCATGTCTAAGAGATATCATCGAAGTATAAATGAAGATTTAAAGGCACTCTGTCATCTTCGACCCTCACAATAAAGCCCACCGCACTAGGAAAAGAGCCCCTCAGCGAAGTTGGACATGAAATTTTCGAGTAAAACAGCAAATTTTGATGATAACTTCCTCATACAACAAATTGCATGGGGTGTTTCTTGGAAATTTTTTTTTGAGAAAATCAACGTAACCACTTCTAAACCCCCCCCCCCC